TAATCCAATGAATATATTATTTCGTTTTTGTTTAGTTTTGCATACTATTGCATCCATCAATAGTATCCAAATTTAAACAGGAAAAAAATCTATGTTATTATTTCTTTTTTGAGTGAAAATTTATATTTCATTCAATAATAATTGAGAATTTTCCATCTATTTTATTTACTATTGTTACAATAAAATTAAAATTGCAGCTTAAGTGGAAATATTAAATGAAGGATATCTTCATTTCTTCTCAATAAAAAATTGTCTCCAATAAAAAAAAAAAAAAAAAATGACCAAAAAGCGAAACATTGTATAAAATGTCATTCATCATAAATTGTCATTCAGACCGGTTCGATCGATTCGATTTATATTATTTCATCATTAAATGACGAAGTATGAAAGAATTTGATTAATTAATAACAAAAATGGAGTATGAAAGAATTTGATTAATTAATAGCAAAAACATATTTTTCCATTTCATCAAATGGTTTGAAATAATTATATCAACAAATAACAAATCAACAATGCATCAATATCAACAATTTTCTTATCAGTACCAAGTTGTCTTCAAATGAAAAAGAAGAAAAATTAATGAAATGATATTTTAAACGAGTAGCAGAAATTTCAACAAATAATTTCAATATCAACAATTATCTGAAATGTATTTGAGTGTAGATTTTATGTTTCTTTTTCTCATTGATTTCTTTTTAAAATTACATTTAATAAATGTATTGATAAATACATTTTTTTTAAATAATCTTATGATGAATTTTGATAATGTCATTCTCTTTGTTCTTTTATATTTATGCTCTTTCCACTTTTTTGTTTTCTCATAATCTGTAAATTCAATAATAAATAATAATTAATGCTTTTCATCGATACTTTGGCTTGTTAAATCTCATCTGAAATGCTATAAAATGAAATAGAGAAAGGTATGCAAGAATTATGGAAAACATTTGTTGAAAATTTAATGATAATGGACCATCCAGAATTCATCTTTCGACTATATCAACAACCTATACTCAAGTAGTTTATTTCATTGAAAAATTTATTAATTAAAAATTTTAGGATAAATCAAAAGATTAGACTTAAAATGTGGAAATTGAAAAATTCACAATCTTGCTAATTAAGTCTGAAGTTGTAATTTAGAAAATATATTCAATGTGTGTATTTTCTCCCAATATCAGCGATTAAAAGAATGAATTAAAAAACAATACTATTTCAGTAAGAGAAAGTGAAAATTTCTTACTTCACACAATTAATGATAAAGGGATAGATCAGTGATAAGGGAAATATCAGCTCATAATATATTCTATGAACAAAGATTTTTATGCTGATCTTATCATTAATATTTAATATGAAAAAACGGATGAAAAAAGAGAAAAATAATGCCACATAAATATTTATAAAGTATTAAACAACGAATAAAATGCAAAAAAAAAACATTAATATTAAAAAAATAAAAAAAAAATATCAAAAAGTTTAAAAATTTTTCAAAATTTAAAACAGAAATTAGTCAAGAATAAACACTTAATTTAAAGATACTCATTTTTTTAAATATTTGATTGAATAAAGTTTAATCGAATAGCACAGACATTCTTTACAAATTTGAACTTTTAGTTTGTTCATGATAAGAACATCCTTTTCATCACAAAAGAAATATCATTCTTCTTTCCAGCGATAAATCATAAAGTATTTTGTTATCAATAAACTTATCTGATACAAAAATCAAAACTGAAATATGTCAATAATCTTTGTGCATAAAATTATTTGCCACTTTTTCATAAACAGATTAATGTACTGATTAATCATAAACAATAATCTTAGTAATACTTTCTATTGTTATTAATATTTGTTCCAAAAAAAAAATTTTGCAAATTTTTAATCTCCAAAAACTTTTACAACTTATTGTATTTCATAAATTTTACAACTAAAAAAAAAAAAAAAACAGAAAAACAAAACAAAAACTATTCATATTTATGATTAGCATCAAAGTATTATAATTTATTATTTTATTTACAAGCATTTCATATTTAATAAAATTTAAAAGTGCTTAAGGGCTTATCTATCTCATTCAAGTAAATGCTCAAATTGTAAAAATAGTAGCTTTGTGGGCCGCTTCCTTTTGAATATTTATAAATTATTCTTTAAAAAAAAAGTTAATTAATTATTTATTTTAAAATCAAACAAAAAAGACAGTTCATTATTTGATTATAAAAATAATTATAAATTATGTATCTTTGTTTTATGATCAAAAATAGAAAGAAAAAAGTAAGAAATTTGTTGCTCCATAATTGCTTTTATAAATAAGTAACTGAATTCAAGGAGGAATAATTACAAACCTGAAATTGATTGGTACTGATATCATGTCAATTTTTATTTCAAATTAATTGGAATTAAATCAAATTGAATAATCTAATCACCTTTTACCACAATTATTTCGGACAACTATAGTTATTATAACAATAATTTATAGCTATTTTGGATAATTAGTATTTATATTAGTAAGGAGACGCGACGGCAAAATTAAAGTTTCAAATTCTTCAATAAAGAATCAAAATTTTAAAATAAAAATTTAAAAACTTAAATAATTATAGACTTTTAGTGCAATATGCTATAATTAACTTTATAACTTTAATTATTAATGTTTTTGTTTATTTGTTACAAAAAAGTAGAGAAAACAAAATAAATTAATAAATAAATCAAAATCTAAAAAAGAAAAAAGATTAAAAATGAGAAAGGAAAAAAATTCAATTTTATGAAAAGACTTTCTTTTACTTCAGATAAAACATTAAAAATTAATCATTTCTAAGCATTAATTAAGTTTTATTTCAAATTGATGAATAATTTGAGTGTGATATTGCGTGCATTCTTTGATGTAAATGATAAACTGATAGCATTACGAATAAATTCATTAAGAGAATTGGATGAAAAATTTGTTCTGAATAAATTTGTTTTCAATTTTTCGTCTCATATGCGTGATCAAATTAATAAGTTATTGATTGACGAGGAAAATTTGGCACTATGATGAGATCTAATAATAACAATTTTGATCTTTTAATTTGAATGAGCGGTGCCATTGGTACAAAATAAATTAAAACAAAATTGGATTTCTTGAATTTGATAGAAATTTCAATCGCATTTCAAAAGTAAATAAATAAAATTTGATTTATGTACATATTAAAAATTTATTTTCAATACCGATTAAATTTTAATTATTGAAATTTGATTGTTTAAATTTTGTTAAACTTGAAAACTATATAAAAATTACGGTCAAAATTATTTATTGTTAAACTGCATTTGAATTATATATTTTTTAATGAATTTAAAATGCACTATTATGAGAATTAAAAGAAAATCTTAAAAAATTAGGAAAAATATTAAAAGAGCCAAAATTATGCATGCAAAAAGGAAAAGATATTCATTTTTTTTTAGCAGTAATTAGAATTCATTTTGTTTTTTGATTAGTACTTTTCTTAATGTAATGCAACAATTTTGCTTTTACAGATAATTATTTCAAATCTTTTAAATGTGCGAATTAATTTGATGTGACTTCAACCTTCATCCTTTTCCCATTTTATCATTTCCAGATAATATTTTCGTTTCTTTATCGCATTATTCATCAATTTCTCAATTAAATTACATTATAAACCATTGCTTTTAATGAAAGCCATCCATTACAAAACCATTAATAATAATAATAATAATAATAATAATAATAATAATAATAATAATAATAATAATGGTAATAATAATTGATAATAATAATAATAATAATATCTATGAGGGCAGTATTTAATGATAACAATAATATAAACATCATTAATAAGTCGATAATGATAGTACTTACAATTACTCATCATGTCAAATATATATTTTATATTACATATCTCAACAATAGTTTAAGAATTTTTCAGTTAAAAATTTTAATGTTACAAAAGTTATAAAATTATGTAACCAAAAATTACAATTACACAAAAATATTAACACTTGATTGTTATGAATTAGTGAATTATCCGAGGTAATTTAATATTTCGTTCGTTTTCTTTTTCTTAAATTTAATATAATTTATAAAATTTTATCCATGAACAGATGAAATATTTATTGATTCTATTGCATTTGACAATATTAACTATTCAAAAACGAATCATACGAATTGGACATTTACTACCAGCTAATCCGATCATTGCAAATGAAGCGGATGTGCTCAGAATTTGCGCAGATGATCTTCATAAGCGCAATATTTTACCACCTAATTTAACAATGGAGTATGAAAGAATTTGATTAATTATATTTAAGCATTTATTATTTGTTCCGAATTTTATTAATTTCATTATTATTCCATTGAAATAAGTAATTTATGCCAAATTTTTTATTTACAGCTATTTAATCCACTAATTTAGTTTAGTAATATAACGAAAAAAAAATTTATGACTGAATATTATTCCAGGAAATGCTAATATGAAAATAATAACAATAATGAATAAATCAATGATAAAAGTTTAAGTTAGAAAGAAATGAAATAAATATAATCGAATTTGATATATTTCCAAGCAATTACTGTACTTTACAATTAGTTGCTTAATACTAAATAAAAATGGATATTAAAAAGAAATTTCTTTTCATTTTACAAAAATCAATTTATCTAATAAAATTTTCTAATGTATTTTTTGTTTTTGTTTTTTTCAAGAGTAATTACAATGGAATCATGCAACGACTTTAGCGGTGTTGAAAATGCCGCTTATTTACATTATATGCACAATGCTACAGTATATTTTGGACCTGGTTGTAACGATGGTACTGTAATATTTATTTTCAAATTTCATTGCTTCTAATTAACAGTTATTTATAAAAGTTGTTTATTACAGTGAAAGAAAACAATAATTGCCATAAATGATAATTAGAAATAATACTTTTCAAAATTTTGATAATGATTATTAAGCGGATTGTTTAAGAAAAGTTAAAATAATTTGGATAGTTCTGATAGTTTTTAAACTGTAGAATAATTAAATGAAAATAACTTAACAATTAGCATCTCTAAATGCTATGGTCAAAACTTGGATAGTTTAAACATTGGAATAATTGCAGAAATTATAATAATTAGTCGCTTAGCTAAACGCTGGAATGTTCCGATTATAGCACACTTATCTGGTGATGATACGCTTGCTGATAAAACTATATTTTCAACGCTTGGCACTGTTGCTCTCACGTCAGCAATCGAGATGGCTCGAGCAACGTTCACGTATCTTAAGCTAAACAATTGGAAAATGGTTCATTAAAAATTAGTTGATGAAAAATTTACAGTTTAATGCAAAACTGATCATTTAATTTATCTATTTAATATATTTATTAATAAAAGAAATTGACAAATTTTTTTACGAATTTATTTTCGATTTTTATTATATTTTTTCCTCGCAAATTAGATTTAAACTACTATAGCACTATATCTGTCAAGTTTTCTTTTTAATAAAAAAAAAAATAAAAATAAAACCTCCAACGCACAGCTTACACATTCTTTTTGCATTTGTTAAGTTTTAATTTGATTTTAACATTTCTTACAGAAAATATATCACTGCATTCTTCTGCAATATTTGATAAGCAGAAAGTAATTCGCTGCCTTAATAGTTTAATCAGAACCCCTCATTTAACCCTTTATTCAATACTGCTTTAAATTTCAAAAAATATCATTAAAAAAAAAAAAAAAAAATAATTAGAATTTTTCAGATTGGTATTGTACGACCGACAATCCATTTTGATGGCCTTTCCATACATTCTTTGGTGCAATTAGCAAAAAATAGTACCGCTGTTAGTATTAATATTATAATCGAAATTGATCCATTTGCATCTGTCGATGAAATCTTAAAAAGCGGAAAACTTGAAATACTTCGAATTTCTGCAAGAAGTAATTAGCAGTTTGTTAAATTTTAATATGTTCTATTCTTATTGCATACACTTACAATACAATATATAAATACTATAATAATTAAATGAAATATAGCAAAACAACATGGTACGTTAAAATTAATCTTGTTTTCTACACTAATATAATAATTTTAATTAATATTACATAAATTTACATAAAAATTATGGTTAGAAAAAAAAAAAACTTGGCAAAACAATTTTTGGTTACTAAAAATAAAAAATTTGATGTCTATATTTATAAGGTAGTGGTAGATAATAAATAGAATGATAATGAAATAATTAATTTATATTCATTAATTAAAACAAAAACAACCTGTGTTTTAAACTTTTTCAAAGCCTTACGTAATCAGTAATTAGGAGATTAATTTGGATATATAATTTGCAAACGAAAATTTCTTCGAACTTTTATATCATTTAGTAATTAATATTCAAACATAAAATTGTGCAACTTAATTCTTTTTACTCGGATTTATCTGCTAAACAATTAATTAAATTATTTATTAAATAAAAATGTCTTGAAGTAGTAATACTAATCAGTGATAATATTAAGTAATTGTGGTCGAATTAGGCTTGGATCTCAGTGCTTGCACCAATTTTATGTTAGCAGTTTTAAAAGCTAACATGAAAAATGCAGAATATGTATACATACTACCATGGCTTTCTCATGTAAGTTATTATTAAGCAAATAGTTATTAATTTATTATTATTTTCTAAATCATTATCAATCGATTTGTTTTGCTCCTACTCAAATTTAAGGAAGTAGCGAGCAAATTATCATTCACTTATGTATATTTATTCCAATCCAATTCAAATATCAGTAATTTATAATATACATTGGTATCTTTCGTGAAAAAGAAAAGAAAAAGGAAAAAAGGTGAAAAGTAATATTATTCAAAATATTTTTCTCACAATTATTTTTTGATTAATTAAAATATTCATAGTGTTTTCTATAGATTGTTGATTACTTTCCATGGGAAGTGATAAAAATCACAGATAATCATTTGATAAAACAAGCCTATGAAAATGCAATTGTAATAACTGCCCAAGGCTATGATCATAAATTAGTTCAACATTTTGCGCATAAATTTTCAAAAGAAACTGGTCATATGGCTTCTTCACATGTATGTTTTTTTGTTTCGCATTTGATTTCTATTTCTCTTTTTTCTTCTGATATTTTCCCAAAAATCAAATAGAAATACGAAAGCTGGAGAGAAAATAAAAGATGAAAAATTAAATTGAAGAAAAAATTCTTCAAAATAAGAATTGAAAATTCCTAGAATTAAAATTAGTAATAGTTTTACAGTAGTTTGTAATCTCCTGGTTTCTCCCCTAATTTTCGTTTATTTATTATGCAAAAGAAAGAAGGGAAGAAAATGAAGGGAGAGAGAGAGAGAGAGAGAGAGACGAGGAAACAAAATGGCTTTCAAATTATTAATTGGGAAAAAGCAGAAAAATAAGTGATAGTTTGGTATGCAATGGACAATGCTTCTTCTACAGTATGTTCTACAGTATTCCACAGTATGCAATATTTGTTTACGGTATACGATATCTATTTTACAGTATGCAATACTTGTTTACATGTCATTGTATGATGCATTATTCCTGTATGGTCTTGCATTACGTGACGCATATGATATTACCGGTGATGACCATATTAACAATAACGGATCGTTAATCTGGAAGAAAATGACTAATCGCCAATTTTTAGGTAACAATGCAGAACTTTTCTACACAAATAAACAATAAGAGAAATTAAAAATAAAAAAAATCAGAAAAACAATTCCGAAAACTTTTTCGGAGAAATTTTTTGAGCTTTCCATTTTACGATAAATTAAGTTAAAACTAATTTAGATTTTTTTTTTTTTGCATTTCTTAGATTTTCTATAAAAATGAAAGAAGAAATATAAAAATGCGCAATATATTTTTAAAAAAAGAAGCATTTATGACAATGTAAAATGGAATTTATAAATTTTCATTTTTGAGTTGAATTTAAACTAACAAATATTTTTGTCAATTGTTATTAGTAACAATATAAGTATCATTATCCCTTATGCAGGTATGACTGGTCAGGTGTTGATTGATAATGAAGCAGTTCGAATACCAAGCTATATTACATACCAGTTGTATAATGGTAGTTTACGAACTGTTGTGGAATTAGAAGCAAAACTTGGCGATCCGGAAAAATGTAGCCTGAAAGGCGAAGAATGTTCGCTACATGTTAGTCATCTGTAGCAATTTGCATATTATAATTAAATAATTGTTATAACAGTTGTCATTTTGAATTTTCAAGAAAAAAAAAAAGAAATAACTGTTAAATTTTTAAAAAAGTTTGAAATTCATAATTTTTTTGCAAAAAAAGAATTCTAAATAATGATAATTTTGTTCGTTTAACATTTTCCTTTTCATATTTCACTCAATAATATTTGATTTAAAAAAAAAAAGCGATTAAATTATGATTTAATAAATATCGGTTTTAATAAAAGATTCTGTGTAATTTTAAAAAATTATTTTCATGAACTGAAATGTAGAAGTAATAATAAATTAATAACAAAAAAAAAACAATCAATCAATTATTAATTAACAAATTTGAAATTAAATATCTTCATTATTTCCCATATGCTTTTAATATTCTAATACTTTGTTACCTTTTTTTTTTAGTTTCATAGTTTAATTAATGAATTTCCATTCAATGCTTCAATTACTAAATTATCGAGAAAATCAATTATTTGTATATTAACTCATTCAAAACTAACGAAAAATACTTGAATTATGCTAAAATTTGTTAAATTAAATGTTTCTTTTCAAAAGAAGAAACATATTCATATGATGCATACATTATTCTTGCAAATATCTTTAAATATAGCAAAAATTTAATTGATGCTAATAAGAAATTCTCTTGAGCTTTTTCTCCTACTTTTTTAAAACTTATTTAGGTACCACATGAAATTTTAATGAATTACTGGTTGACAGCAAATGGTGAGGCACCATTTGATATGCCACCTTGTGGATATGATGGTAGTTTATGCGATTACACAAAATATATTTTGGCTGGTGCTTCAGCAATTCTTTTACTTTTTACTATTGTTATTGGTTATTTTCTATACATCAAAGGGTTAATTAAAGCATTCCTTAATTACTTTACTAAATCTAAGTAATACTTTAGCATTTATCAATTTGTTCATTCTCATCAAATTGGTTAATGTATTGGTGTTAACTATATAATATACAAACTGAATTCCAATCATTCAATTTATTTATAATTAAAAACTGATATAAGTTTGATAAAATTTATGTTTAATGTTGAAAATTTTAGAAAAGAAAGACGATTGTATGATATGACGTGGCGCATAGCACGTGAATCAGTTCGTCTGTTAGATTTAGCTACTGACGTAAATTATAATTCAATTTTTATTTCATTTATGTCTTAAGTAATCATATAAAATTGTTAAATTATTAAATTTTATTAGCATAATCCATCGAATAAATCAAAACGTGTTCATTTCTTTTCACGTAACTCACTTCCTCAACAATTCACGTTACCTTTTTCAGCATACAGGTAAATCAGTTAATGGATCAGTAATCAGTAATGAATCAAATACAAATCAAATGTTATCAATGGAACGTGCAATATGCAACGGTGTTAAATTATCAGTTCGCCGATATCATCAAACACGAAATATTACATTTCCAAAAAATGAATTACAAATTTTGAAACAAGTAAATAATTTTTTAAAAAAAAGTCAATTCACTGAAATATTTATTAATTATTTAAATTTTAAATTTTTAATCGAAATTTCGAAATTATTAAATAATTAGGAAAAATAAGTAAAAGCAAAATTAGTTGCTGAAAAAATTTTGAAATTAATTGAGGATAGAGAGAAAGGAATGAAACAATTTTAAATAAAAAAAAATAAAAAAACGAGTAAACTGCTGGAACAATTATCATTTGAATAATTTGCATAGCAATCACTCACGTACGTGAGATAAGTAAAATTTACTTTTCTATTCTGTATAATTTGATATACTTATCTGATTTTATACGGAATGTTACATACACGGAAAATCAATGCTATTTAATAAAAAATAAATGAAGTTTTTTCAGCTAAAAATGTTGGAAAATGAAAATTTGAATAAATTTTATGGAATTTGTTTTAACCAACAAAATGAATTGCTAATCCTTTGGACATTTGTTACACGTGGAAGTCTTGGAGTAATGAATAACTTTTTCTTTTTCATTAAATTTTAAGAATTTAACAAATTTATTGAAGCTTTTTTACAATTAAAAAAAAAATTAATTTAATGATTTAGTAATAAAACATTTTCTAATTTAATTTTACAATTATTTCATATAATATTTCAGGATATTATTTTTAACAATGAAATGAAACTTAACCGAAATTTTCTAGTTTCATTTGCTAAAGATGTTGTTAAGGTATGCAACAAATTATTCTGAAAAGAAATAATTAATTTAAAAAATTAAATATTACAAAATTTATTTATAGACAATAATAATAAAAAAAACTTATCGTTAGTTAAAAGAAACCTGTCAAAATTTATCAATTTTAATTTTTTTTAAAAATTGTGTTTGATAATTTCAAAATTTTAAAATGTTATTTGTGAATTAAAATAAAAAATGTAAATTGAATTGAACAATAGCTAAATAATTAAATGATATATAAATCATTTTGTTCAAAAATTTTATTGCTTTTGTTTCATTGTTAATTTATTGTCGAGAATATTCAAATTATTTTAGGGTATATTTTTCCTGCATTCATCGCCAATACAATACCATGGCTTATTGTGCTTGCAAAACTGTCTCGTTGATTCACATTGGACAGTTAAATTGACAGATTTTTATACGGAAGTAATTGTTGCTGAAAAGTTATTGCATAACGAAATAAAACAAATCTTTAAAAAAGTTGATGACAACGATGATGATAATATTCAAATTAGCCGAAGTAATTAATTAATTAATTAATGTCTTTTTTTTAAGTTCTAGTTTTTGTATATTATAATTGAAAAATGATTAAAAGATAAAATAAAATTCATAAATAATTTCAAAAATTATTTACATTTCAGAAGGCTAATTGCTTAATTAAAGAAACTAAATACGTTTTTGTTTTTAGCAATAATTTGATCCATCTTATTTTGTAATTTGTATTTCAGATTTTATAAAAATAAATCATTTATTTTATAATATTAGATTTTTTCCTTTCTTTGGTCATATTGATAACATGTGAGAAATTTTTGAATATAAAAAAAAGATATGTTGCAATGAATATGAGATGTTGTAAGGAAAGGAAGAGAATGATATGATTATATGATGTGATATGATATGATATGATAACTGATAAAATTTTCAGCTAAAATTTTTAGCAGTGATATATTGATAATTTTTTTTTTTTGTATATTAACTAATGTTTAATTTTTGTTTTATTTTGTTTTAACTTTTTTTACAAATTATATATTAAGTAATGTTTAATTTTTTTGTTTTATTTCATTTTAAAATTTTCTTTTTACTGTTCCATTTAATTTTTTTAAAATAACAATCTATTATATACCAATACATTTTATATATTTTCATTAATAATATGCTAAAAAAAACGAGGAAAAATTTTCTTGAAAAACATATATTATATCAATTTTCAAATTTTCATAATTTTTTAATCATTAATTCAATAAATTTAATTTCGAAATCAAAATAGCATCAATTTAAGAGCATTCAATTTTTTATTTCCATCTTCAGAATATATCCAACAAGCACCTGAAATTTTACAAATTATTTTAAAGACGAAATTTTTACCACATGGCTCTCAAGCAGCAGATATATATTCACTCGGTATGGTACTCTATCAAATATTATTTCGATTGGAACCATTTCATGAACTATCCATTTCCACAAAAAGTAAATTTATTTCATAAATTTTAAATTTTCGTAATTACATTACATTTTGTAATGTTAATGAAATGACATTAATACAATGATTTTGATAAATTATTGAACAATTAATATTTATTTTATTCTTTTATGCTAGCTTAATCCAATTATATTTGAATTAATATTTGCAGATTTATTTATTTTTATGTAATAAACTTAAGAAAACAAAATTTCTTTTATTCCGTTTAAATTTATTTTGTTAAATTTACCATATTGTTCAATTTATTATTATTATTATTATTATTATTATTATTATCATTATTATTATTAAATGTTATCATTATTGCAGAATTATTGATCAAATTAGCAAATAGTATTGAAGAAGGTTGCATTCGACCAACATTTCCGTCAGCTAACAATGATTCATCCTATAACCTTCAATTAATAAGTACCATTGAGGTTAAAGAAAAGGAATAATTTTAAAATATAATTATTCTAAATTTATCATTTGAGAAAATAAAATTAAAAATTAAATGGTAAACTATTAAGGAGAAATGTCGTATGTATATTTTGTTTGTGTTTATTTATGCATAACATTTATTTACTTTTTTAACCAATTATTTAATTAATTTTACCACTTTTTTTTCAAAAAGATTTTATTATTTAAATTATAGAACATATATTTTCTAGCAGACATCTTTCATCTTTTTTATCTTAAAATAATTTAAAACTCTAACAGATTTTTAACTGTGTCATAATTTAATTGTTATTTGCTTAATAAAACATTTAGGCATGTTGGCTAGAAATTCCACAAATGCGACCAAATATTAAAAAAATTAAAGAAGTTATTAATGCAACCTTAAAAACAACGTAAGAAATTTTTGCTTTTTTCCTCATACAGCTAATTTGTCGAGTAAATTTGCTATTTGTATTGCAAAAAGAAATAATTAATTGGATTTTCTTGCATAATAAATTATTTTGCAATTAAATTTTAACAGTTTAATCAAAAAAAATTTGTCAAAAAGCTTTTTTTTTTTCAAATTATTTTAGTGTTTTTTTCCTACTCTTTTAGACGAAAAATTTGTGAAAATCATATTGAAAATGACAATTCAAAAAAGAAAAACGACAAACTTTTATTATTTGAAGGATTGTTTAAACGGTTTATTAATTAACTGAAAATTATTTTTTAAATATTGCAAAGTTTTACAAGAAAAAAATGATAATTTTTCAAAATTAATGGTACTTGTATCTAATTGATATCTTCGAGAAAATTTTCAACCACTTTTTATTTCTCTTTATCATAAAAAATGATAAAAATAAGTGACCCATTAAAATAGTTAACATTTTTCACTAAAATTAACAACATTTTATAAAAAAAATCTAGGACATATTGATCCATTGGGAGATATTGATCCACTGGTAGATATCGATCGTACTAATAGTTACTATTTCAGAGGAAGTGGATCACTTTTGGATCAAATGATGGAAATGATGAATGAAGTTCTTCTTCTTCTTTAAAAAAAATAATAATATTAAAAATAAATCATCTATAATTAATTGATAGTGAAATCTGATATTTCAAACTGCAATGTTATTATACATTTGGGATAGCAATTATTATAAGTATTTTCAGGATAAATTTAAACAATAATATTTAATAAACTACAGCAATTATTATTATCAAATATTTATTAATTATTATAGTGGAATTTGAATCAAAATTTGAATGAAAAAAAGAAACGCTAATTTTAGTATACTGTAAATTTGGAAGTAATGGTGAAAAATCGAACAGCATTATTAGAAGAAGCACAACAACAAGCTGATCGATTACTCTACAGTATATTACCAAAGTTATTATTACTTAATTTATTTTTGTTCAATTTCAATTTTTAATTTTTTACTAAACATTCATCTTTTGATAATCGATGATAAAAAATTTGTAAAAAATTTAAAAGCTGGAAATTTTTTATGTCTATAATTACTAATAATTAATTAATTAATTAATTAATTAAATTATTCCATTGCACATTACATTAATAACAGTAACATAAACAAGTATCATCTAAAGAATGAACAAATTTTAAAGATCAATTGCGGATGATTTAAAAGTTGGCAGACAGGTGCCACCACAGTTATACCCATGTGCTACCGTACTTTTCTCGGATATTCGAGGATTCACTCGATTGTCATCCATTTCAACTCCATTTCAAATTGTTAAATTTCTCAACGATCTTTTCAGTGGCTTTGATGATATCATCTCGAAACATGACGCATACAAAGTAAATTAATTATTAATTAAATCATTCTATTGAAAAGAATTATTGTTTTAATATGAGTGTTAATTAATGATCGATTAATTTATTTATAAATAACATTTTTTAAATAATTTTTTTAGTTAATTTAAAAATGTAAAAAATATTTTATTAAATGTCATTTTTTTCCCTTTTTTGTTTTTCCTTTTTCTCTTTTTTGCATATAGTATGGTTGTATTTCTAACTTTTTACTTTTCATTTCATATTTCTTTATTTTCTATTCTCAAATTAATTCACAGTTTTTTTTTTTTCTGTTTATATATTTGGAAAAATAACTAATTTGCGTTTTAATTATAAAATAGAATTTAAAGGTAAAAAACGGAAAATTTATAATGGAAAAAAGAATTTCATAGCATATTTTAAATGTATAATCAGTAATTAGTTTATACGAAAATAATTAATTTAGTACAAAATGAAAATTTTAAAAAAGTTTCAAATTACTAACAATAAATACAATTAATCACTTTATATTAGAAAAAAAAGAAAGGAAAAGAAAAGAAAATTGAGTAACTTTTGAAATATTTAGTAATTTTAACTTTTGTAATCGAATAACTCAAAATATTTGTGCAATTTTATTCAATTAAAATGGAATGATTTAAATTATTTCAATTATGAATTTTCTTTTTTCTATGCATCCTTTTTTGTTGCTCAAAGATGGAAACAAATGATTAGCAATCAAATGATATGATAATAACTTTAACAGTTAATTTGATATTTAATTATTTAAACAAAAAAAGTTACTTTAAAATCTAAGGTTGAAACAATCGGTGATGCATACATGATCGTTTCCGGTTTACCGAAAGAAAATGGTTATGCACACGTTGAGAATATTGGCAATATTGCACTTCAAATGCGTTCGGTTAGTTAATTAGTGCCATTTTATTATGAAACAAGAAAAAATAAAGCAAATAATTCAGATTGAAATTTTATTTATTATAAAATATTTTTAATATTAATAAATAAATAAATAAGAAGGTAAAAAAAGAAATAAAATAATTATTATTTCATTCATTTTTACACTTTTTTTTTTTGATTTATTGATGAATTTTATTTACATAATAAAATATAAAATGAAAATGAAAGAAATTATTTAGTTTGTAACAAAATTTAAAATCATTCATCGACCCGAAGAACGATTAATGGTGCGAATTGGCTTTCACAGCGGTGCTGTAGCAGCAGGTGTCGTCGGTTTAATTACACCACGTTATTGTCTCTTTGGTGACACAGTTAATATGGCATCCAGAATGGAAAGTACGAGTGAACCAAATGAGATACAAGTAATTCCCTCTCTCTCTCTCTCTCTCCTCTCTCTCTCTTTCTCTCCATTTTTTCATTTCCAATCTTTGAGAATAAATTTAAATTTGAATTTAAATTTGCTTAAATAAGATAAAAACTTACAAAAATCTATTCTGGAAATGAATGTGTTTACATTTAACAAAATGTAAACAATTGATCATTCAATATTTTGAGATCAGTGATCAATCATATAATTTGCTTCATTGCTATTTTCCGCAATTTCAAATTATTGAACGAGGAAAAATTAGTGTTAAGGTAAACCTGTTTTTGATTTGATTTGAATAATTACCTTAAGTCTATTAAATTATAGAATTTGCTTTTTTATTTTTTATGAACTTTAGCTTCATTAATTGATTTCATTTATTCCTAGATGACTTAGTTGAAATATTAATTTTTCAGGGTAAAGGTGAATGCATCACATACTTTTTGCAAGGTAAAGAAGGTGAAAATGCTATGAGTACGTAAGCTTCTTCATGACATCTATGAAGATATAGCATATTATTAAATTAAATGTTGCTAGTATTTTAAAAAATTAAATTAAAAAAAAAAGAACAGTATATTTCATTGGCCATAAATAATTTTGCTCCAATTATTCTCACCGTATAAAAATTAAAGAAAAAAAGCTGTTAAATGTTTTAATGTGTCGTTATTTAATCGTTATTTGTCAAGTAAAAGCATTTACTTGTCAATTAGATAGAGGTAAAATATTTACTGAAATGAAAGAAAAATTCAACTTTCTTTTTTTAAATATTATATTTGTTGTAACTATTTATTTGGATAACATTTCATGCCTTATTGCACAGCATAAATAATTTAAATCATTTATTTTGTAAGTAGATTAAAATTTAAAAAAAAATCAATAATTTCTCCATATTTCTGCATATGAAAATTTTATACTTCACAGTAAATACATTAGATGTGTTGATAAGGGGAACAAATTACTTCCTAAATACAGCAAAAAAGAGAAGAAACACTGTAAATTTGAATGTATCACATTAGTGGAGATGATGAAGACATTGTGCAAGGTAGAAGAGTAAAAAAAAGAAAAAAACGAATAAAAATTTCATTTGATGAAAGATTTAAAATTCAGATGATAAATTGTGCATTTGATGAAGAGAAGGAATAAATAGAGAGTAAAATAATGATAGATTGTAATAATGATAAATTATGCAATAAGACCAGGTATATTTAACAGCTATTGCAACATTAATACCATCATTCCCATGCATCTTTTCTCCAAAAACTTTAAAAATTTCCAAAACTGAACCATCCAGCAAACACTTTGCTATATGTAATCTGTCAAGATAGAAGTAAAGCAAGTATTATATGCAGGAATAACTAATCAAATAAACAAAATGAGCATTCATTCATTCATTCACATAAAAGATACATCCACATGAGTTGCCGATCAAAACTGAACAATTATTATGCCATTTGCCATATTTAGCGGATTAATCTACTGCTCAGGCATAAATAAATGCCTTCTGAGTTTTGTTATTTGAAAGCACGAAAAGTTGGAGTCTAATACACATCACATTATTCATGGTTTTATTTCCACTGAATAAAAATAAAACTAAAAAACAAGTGGATAATCGGAGTAAAATTTTAATAGCTAATAAAGCATAAATATTAACTATTTATTGACATTCTGAGGCAGTACGTTTACGATTTACCCTGTTTTGCCGGGCAGATATTATAGTGAAATCACCCATTTCTGTTGTCATTATCAGGCCACGACCATCCCTACGTTGAAGAAGCTCCAAATTCTAGAAAAAAAATTAATAATTCTACAGTAAGTCACTTACTTGAATTAACACGCAAATATCTGTTGTCTCAGAAATAACAGAGGAGGATGAGATAAAAATAGTGGAAATCTCGAAAGGCGATGATTTTTCCCATGATTGTCATCACTTTTTTCGAAAGAAATTTTAATAACAATGAAACTGTTCACTTGGATAAAGTGAGCTCAAGATGCAAACAATGCTAATTGAGTAAAAGTTTTCTTCTCTAGCAATTTTTCATTTCATCTGGAAAGAGCAAAGAACTTTTTTTTTTTTTTGCAAATTTAAATTCGAATAATTAAAATTACTAACATTTTCATTACAAAGATGCAAAAGCACTGAGAAAGCATTAATAGGACTGAGATCATCAGCAGTTCGTCCAGCTAAATACGAAGGAAGTTGGGCCAAAACCGATGAGAATGTATGTCGACCTGCTAATCTAAAATCTTTTACTGTTACTTCAGCATGTCGTAGCTCACATGTTGGATCATCGGTCATCTCCTGGAATAGAGAAAAAGATAATTCGTTAAAATTCAAAAGTATAAGTTTCTCAATTCCTTAATGTTAAATTTCTGTTCGATTATAATACAAAAAAAGCTCAAAATTCAACTTCTAAAAATCAAACTCAAATTTCCTTGAAATTATCACCTCCTCTTCCCTCAACTGCAATCGCTCTTCCTCTCTACTAAGTTCGATGCGATCAAATGAATCTTGATAAGAATCCTCGCTTAAAATGCTCAAATCATTCAAACCATCTAAAAAACTGAATCCCTGTTGTCGTGCGGCAGAGAGTTCAGCATTCAAAGCATCGGCATCAAGCTTAAAAATAATCATATTCCTGAATTTCAAGTAAATAAAAATAAAAATTTCCTATATTTTCAATAAGATTGATTCAAAAGTATATACAAAAACCTACTTTCGCATTTGATAATATAGTACCAATTGCTCGTTTCACAGCTGGTGCATTAATGCGTCGTTGTCTCACCGAATATTTCACACCAAAAATCTAAAAAGAAATAAAAAATAAAACAAAAAATATTCTGATATGTAAGAAAGAAAAAGTATAAGAATCTCTTTCCTTCTTTTATTCTATTTCCTTTTTTGTTTTCCAGATGATATTTGTGAACAGAAACCAAAACATTTGGTCCTAAACATGTAACAGACTACAAAATAACACGTTTTATGAAACATAACTATAAATCATTCGCTTGTGCACATTTGCATCACATGAAAATTAAATATTTACCTCAGCTTCTTCTGCCCCAGAATCGGCTTCAGAATAGAAACTCTGGGTGGTTTTCACTACTGGCACATCGTACATCGGTACCAATGTCTACAAAAAGCTTAGTCATAATTGCAAATTAATCGATTTCTATTTGTTTAAATATAAACAAATTACAATATTACTCATAAAATCTAATGCTCTAATTTAAATAAAATTTAATAGTGTTATATCTATTGCATAGCTATCTGATATCCGATCATTCTCAAATTAGGACACATAATTTAAGAAATAAAACCTATTTTTAAACAAAAACGGATAAATTATATACCTAATCTAAACCTTGAATAACCAATAAAAAGATGCAAAGTTTTCAAATAACGATAATAGTAAAAAAAAAAGAACCTTGTCAATGTTGATAAATAATGAAACCTATTCATTTAGGATAATGACTAAAACAAAACACTTCAACAGTGATGATGAAAAGACAAAAATTCATTCCAGTAAACATAATAAAATAAAATGTTCCTTACACTATCATTATCATTATCGTCATTATCCTGAGTAGCAACTTCGCTAAATAAGTCATTATCGTTATTGCCGTCAAATGTTTCACTGGTACAAGGTACTGACATTGATCGCTGTTCAAAACATGCGTCATCGAAATAACCATTGAAGCATGACATGTGTTCCTTAATTCTGCAAAATTTAACATATGCTTCTGATTCAATACGAATTTTAAATTTTGAAAAAAAGAAATAAATTAAAACTAACGCTTCTTCAGGATCTAAATCCTCCCTAATGGTTTGTCGTAGCATTTTTGATAGGTCTTCATCTTTAGTATCCACTGGTGCTGACATTGATCGATTACAGTGCAGATTCTCCCATTCGCCCTATAATAACAAAATATTCAACAAATATTAGCTTCCAGAAAACATTCTATAAAATCGGAACAAAAAATTGGAGATCGGTATTTTGATATAAAGAGAGAAAATACCGAGAAAACGTGAGCCAAACGACAAAATTGCTCCGGTTTATAAAACAAATCAGTAGCGAGCCGTGTCCGATTAATCTTCAGAACTTCATCTTCACGTTTGACAAGTACAGTCGGACGTTTCGTTTGTCTTTGCCGGTCTCGAATCACAGCAAGAGGCATATTGTCGAAATCACCAATTTCGAAAACTTCCTTTTCCTCTTCTTTTTTCACCTTAATAAATTTATATTTAATTGAAATTTAAGCTTTTTTTCTTGAATATCAAAATTTGAAAAAACTCAACACATGCAATTCTTCAATAAATTATTTAATTAGCTCAAGTACTTCTCATGTCATGCAAAACCATTAAGTTATTCGGGAGTTGGGACCACTGATACATGATCCGCCCTTAGTAAGGTCATCAATCCAACTTAAAAATCCAGTCAAACTGTCCTATCTAGGTTTTGCTGATAGGATCGAACATCCGAAAATATGTCTCAATGCGATATTTGAATTGAACAATTTTTTAGAGCCATCCCAAAGGTTTATGTCTTTAATATGATAAAAGCATTAAATCATTTATTCTCAAACCTTTTTCACTGGATAGGCCAATCTAAAGTGTGAAATACGGATAAATTAGAAGTCTCAACTGGTCAAAATTTCAGTTTGTTTAATAATATATTGAGTAAAAAGGTTCCCACTATTCGCGCACCACACCATAACCTTCCTTCAAAAGCTTATCTACAACGTCTAGCGCAAAGAAAAAAAATGGAAAAACTTAGAAGACTGAAGAAAAGTGCAAAGTAATATACTTTTTTTTTTTCGATTTTATCCAATTTCATAGGTGGCTTCCCTTTTGCAGCTCCAACAACTTCTGAAAATAATTTTCCTTCTGCACAGTTTCATAAATAAATTGATAAAATATACTAACTAAAAAAAATACTAAATAAATTGAAACTTTATAAAATAAATAATATGAAATAATTAACACTGAAAAATGTCTACTATTAACCTTTATCAAGCTTTCGTTTTTTCCAGTGTGTATCATCGTTTACTATTGAATAAGCCATAACTGCAACTCGTTTTTCGTCAATAAAATGGAGATCACCGTATGCTGAAGCTGCATCCGTACGATCAATTCTACCACCACTTTCTAGTCGTAAATTTTCCAGCTCTTCCGAAAATTCTGTCTTCAACAGTGAAGAATGTAAGAATGCAATTAAAATATATACATATATATGAATTATACTAACAGTAAGAAAAAAAAATTTTCGCTAGATTTTTAAACCAAAAATTCATCTATTTCACCAGATGAAAAGGAATGATGTACCTGCTTAGATGCAAGCGACCGAACGTCATCGGCAACTGAGTGATAGTCATTCACGTGTGATGATGCCACATCAGCATCCATATCAGTGTCATTGTCAAAGCCTGCATCTATTTCAGAATTAATATCATCCATACGACTTGCTATCAAACGACCATTAACCGATTCTGATGGTATTGCTGACGGCACTGCTGACCTTGACTGCTCTTTAGAAATAATACTTTCGCGTTCCCAAGCAGATTGCATTTCAGGCCTTCGTATTCTGCAAAATAAAAGCAAATAAAAGTCTACAGTATAATACGACATCAATGAGATAAAAATTTTTTTTTTCAATTCACATAATTTAAATAAATCTACTAACAAAGTAAAAGAAACAGAAAATAAAACAGCAGTATCGCTGGAATGAGTTAATAATATATAATAGCAGTGTACTTTAATACTTTTAAAACATACGGTGTTGCAATTGGAATTTGTGCAATTTTTCGTCCAAAATCATCGCCCTTTTTTTTAAACAAACTTTCACCTCGACCAATTCGAAAAGTATCTAGTACTCCTGCCAATGCTTTCTGATCATCACCTGTCATTTTAATAGCATTACGCGGGACTTCAACTTCAATTACACTCCGGAAAACAGGTAAATTGCCAAGCACATTACCACTCTGAAATCAAATTTTCATAAGCAAAAAAAAAAAAAAAAAAATCGAGATCATAACATCAAGTGAAATGAAAATAAACCTCAGCAGACAAATGTTCAGCTGATCGTGCAAAAAAGTAGTTAAATACAGGATGTTCTCCAGGCAGTGACTT